GCCCTCTGTGGTGACGTTAACAGCACGTTAATAGAAGCGTCTCTAAACACCTCCCTGGCAGCCTGTTCTCTTTCCGGTTTGATGATCAACCAACATTTCTTGGCATTAAGGTCTAATAATGATGATAATAATAATAATGGTAATAATAATAATAATAATAATAATAATAATAATAACTGTTTATTAACAAATCCATAGAACAGTGAAAAGGAAATAAAGGAAGTTATCCCTTTCTAGTTTATCTCCAGATAATCAAATAATTTAAGAACATCATCATTATCATATATTGTCATGTGTCATAAGTTATTTTTTGCTCAAAAATCATCCCAGCTAAACGGCAACACTTTTTATTATAGTCTGCTGGCTGTATTTAGGTTTAATTATGATTTTAACACTACATCATTTCTGTGCTTGAACATCTTTGAAAGATTTAAAATAAAAGTCCGTAAAAAGAAATCCTTTTAATTGTGGGACTGGGCACTAGTACAAAACGCCGTATATTTTCAAACCAATGACATATTTAACAAAGACCAAGCACAGCTTGTTTTTTTTTTTATACCATTTTGACTAACCTAATAGTAACAAACTTAAAGGACTTTAAGTATAAACTGTTGCCGTTTTTTCTTTTGAATTTTTTGGCCGTAATATGTCGGAAGTTAGACCACCCCCCCTCCCCCACTTTTTGTGCAATAACTTGAAAAAATGTAGGCTCGTGCCTTAATTCACCTGAGTCAGGGAAACGGAGTCCAAAACATAATAATTCCCTTTAAAAATGATAAAAATGTGAGGACGACGTCAAATGATATTTTAATACAGCAAGAGTTGGAAAATTTTATTTCATTCAGGTGAAAGGTATAATTTGTGTATTTAATACTGGCTTAGGTTCAGCAGAACTTTCAATAATGATTAATCTCAAAACGTCGAAATAGACACAAATTATATTATTACAAAGTTGTATGAAATTGAAGACGTTACCAATATGAGTATGCAAATATCGCCTAGGCATTGATCAATTATAGGAGCTTATTGGAGTTTGAAACCTAGGGATAACAAAATAAGAGTTACTTTTGAAAAGCGTTTCTTCTTAATTTTTTTTAAAAAAGAAAAAACCATAAACCTAGATGGCGAGCTTTCGTTCAAGATCTAACTAGAGGCCATTTTTGCAGAGTTAAGTTGATTTCCAAGAATGGACCTTGACCTGAAATCAAGAAGAATTACGCTGATCACTGAAAAACAGGTAACTATTTGAACAAAGGATGTATGAAACCGACAAAAAGGAATTTAATTATCCAGACATATGGCTTATTTTTATCCCTTACATGGCTTTACGGGTCCAGAAATAGCCATTTGTCGTTCAAAAGAGGTGAAATTCCTTCAAAAATTAACGAGTTAGGACCCATAGGCGCCATAAATGAATGGTTACAGCCCAAACGGTATAAAATTTGTTGTCTTGCAAACACAATTTACATAACAGATGGTTACAAAACGCAATATTAGTCTGAGATACAAAGGAAGATATAATGGCTACGCTTCATGTTTCCTACCTGGTCTCTCTGAGTACTTTGTCAGTACTTGTAGTAGTATTCAACGTTTTTGTTTGCTGTTTGGTTTGCATGAACAAAGCCCTACGGACGTACACAAATGGGTTTGTAGTGTCACTAGCTCTGTCTGACATTTTAATAGGAGGAGTCCTTTTTCCGATGATACTAAGCAAGCCTTCATCTCTGGCGACTGGTTATCTCACCTGTGTTATTGTCCTCTCTTCTTCCTGTAACTTATCCTCGGTAACGTACGCTCGCTATGTTGCCATCATGAAGCCGCTGAGAAGCCGATACCTGGTACCAAAGATGTTCAAAAAAGCAGTGGTATTCTCGTGGCTAATACCAATAATCTTCTCCTTACTTCCGCTGTTTTGGAACACAAATTATGAACTTCAAATACACAAAGTGTACATCATATGCGCTCAGGTATTCGGCTTTGTCGTCCCATGTGTCTTCATTACTTTTGCCTATATTCGAATGTTTAAAGAAGTTCGACGCAGTTTGGCACTGCAAAAAAACCTTCAGGTAGTTTCTCCGCAACAGAGAACGAATGAAAGAAGACGCTTGTCAAAAGAAATTAAGATAGCGAAAGTATTCTGCATAATCTCAGCAATTTTTCTTTTCTGTTGGCTGCCTGTTATTTACATGACAACTGCCCAAAGGGTGTTCAGCCGTTCTGATATAATTCCCGATTTTATGCCAACTGTTTCTTTGTTCACCATGGCGATTAATTCCCTTGTGAATCCTGTTATTTACGCTTTTCTCAAAGCTGATTTTATAATTCCCATTCGCATTTTCTTGCGAAGTCTTTTTCGGGGACAATGTTGCCGGAAGCAAAATTTGGTAGGGATCGAAATGAACACCTTTAATCCTTTAACTTTAAGTTTTAGAATCAATTTAAAGACTCCCCCATCATCCTATCCTTCTATTTCAAACAATTGTGCCATCCCACATTTCGCAGTTGAGATGAGAAAGTAGTAATTGCATAATAATAATAAAAAATAACAATAAGGAAGACTTTCAACGCCGGCTTGACCTCAACAAATTGCCCGATGAAGAGCACCAGCAGCGAGCCGCTGGTCGAGACTAGGGAGCATGCTCTCTTCACAATTATTCTTTATTTGAGACTATTTTCTTGATAAATAAATAACCTGGTTACGCTAGAAATGTACCATCACAATATTTGATAACTAGCTAAACGACTGTTTCAGTTGATCGATTTTTAGTTACTACCATTCCGATGTACATGTCGTGGTATTGATTAAAACAGTTAAAGTAAAGGTGGTTCGACCCAGTATTTTTGTAGCGACACCCCTTCCACCTTTGAGCTCTTACACTGAAACAAATTGATCTTTAGAAACCCATTTTTATATGCTTACTGAGATTATTAGTACTGAGTTCGACAAGTGTCGAACCTTAAAAACATGAACGAGAAAAGGCTTGTTGATCACGATACTTCGGTCGAGGATTATGTGGAAAGTCTCGAAAACAAGAACACGAAAGAAAAAACGAAACGAGATGTGAAATTGTTGGAATCGTTTTTAAGAAACGAAAAGAACGACGAGCGAGAAGTTCAAAACATAGAGTCTGCAGAATTAAACAAGCACCTTGCGGCGTTTATTCGCTCTGTGAGACGTAAAGACGGAGCGGATTATGAGCCTTCAAGGTTAAGACGCTTTGTTTCAAGTATAGAGAGACATTTGAAGAAAAATAATTACACTAAGATCATTAACGATAAAGAGTTTGAATTGTTTAGAAAATATTTACAGGCTAAACAATGGGAGCTGAAGAAATCTAGCCGAGGGGACAAAGACAAAGCTGCTGTGGCAATTACTGACGAGCAAGTCGATATACTGTACGAAAATAATATGCTTGGAGTTTCCTCTGCTGAGTCATTGTTGAATACTGTTTGGCTGAACAACATTTTTTGGAATGCGTGTTTGTCAAGAGCATGGAGATTTGTGCTGGTGGGATGTGAAGCAACGTAATATAAGCACTCCCAAGGTAACGAATATTACCATGATCGACAGACAAAAAGAAGGTCTGGAGTAGACGCCTCAAACGTTCGAAAAGTTTCCCCGAAAATGTTTTCAACTGGTGATGAACGAGATCCGGTGGTGGGGTACAAAATTTACCGTTAAAAGCGACCGGAAAACATGATGCCTGACGATGCGGCATTTTACTTCGGAATAAACCACACGTACACGAAAACAGACGGCTCCAAGAAATGCTGGTTCAAGTCGGCACCTATGGGTGTAAATGAAATAAAAACTGATGAAAACAAATCTCATCATCAACGAGCAACTCACTAACAATATGAGCTCGGAAACACGTGATTCAAAAACTTAATGACAGTAAAATTCCGCCAACCCACATAATGCAGTTAATCGGGCACAAAAACGTGAAAAGCACAACAAATTATAGTAGTTTGAACCTAAATCAACAAAAAAAACATATCGGGCATCTTAAACCTATAGCATCATTTCAAACACAAGTGACTACTCAAACTACAACTCACGAAACTGCCGCTGCAACCACTAGTAAAAACCGGATGCGTTTTTTTGATGGAGCAGTAATAAGTGGAGGAAAATTTACGATTTCCATTAATACCCTTCAGACTACCTCGCTTACGACCTTTGAAAGCAGGAGTTTAGTCACCGAAACCACCGAAAATAGGTAGAAGAGAATCCTAATTGAGTTTTCCTATACTTCGACTGAAGTTTAGAAGTAATATTTTAACATTCTTGCTGTAATGTTAAATTTCCGGTAGAATTTTAAGCTTATGTTATAATCCTTGCATGAGTTTTTAAGACTTGAATTCGTATAACAGAGTTTTGTCTTGGTTTGCATTAAAGACGATAAACAAGAATTTAAAACTAAGTATGTATGTATATTGTAAACAAAATACCACATGGAAAGTACTTTGTACGGTATTTACGCACTCATTGTTTTTGTATACGTCAAAAACTCGTGCGTAAATATAGCAGGCCCGCACTTTCCATAAGGTATTCTATATTTACCACACATGTATTACACATAGACTAAACTTCATTTTGATATTATTTCTTGAGCGATCAGAATAAATATCACGTAACAATATGGCGTCAGATCGGGCACAAAATCAATAATCAGATTTCGTGGCCTTGGAAACACTTCTTCGCTTCAAAATTGGTCTTCGAGTCATTGCCTGTTGTCTTCGTGGCGTCGGTTCCATGTCTTCGAGTCGTCAAATCTCTCCTTTCATCGTACTGTTTTCCTCGGGGTACCATTGGCTTTTCTTCGTGGCGTCGCAATGGGCTTATGTCGTCGCTGCGTTGTTTTTATGTCTTCGTGTTATCGGCCCTTGTTAACCTGTTACCCTGTTACCTTGTTACCCCGTTACCCCGTTGCCCTATTACCCTGTTACCCTGTTAACTTGTTACGTTGTTACCCGGTTACACTGTTACACTGTTTCCCTGTTACCCTGTTACCTTGTTACCCTGTTACCCTGTTACCCAGTTACTTTTTACCCTGTTACCCTGTTACCCTGTTAAAATGTTACCCTGTTACCTTGTTACCCTGTTACCCTGTTACCCTATTACCTTGTTACCTTGTTACCCTCTTAACCTGTTACCCTGTTATCTTGTTACTCTGTTACCTTGTTACCTTGTTACCCTGTTAACCTGTTACCCTGCTACCTTGTTACCCTATTACTCTGTTACCCTTTTACCCTGTTACCTTGTTACCTTGTTACCTTGTTACACTGTTACCCTGTTACCCTGTTAACCTGTTTCCTTGTTACGCCGTTACCTTGTTACCCGGTTACCTTGTTATCCTTTTACCCTGTTACCCTGTTACTATGTTACCTCGTTACCCTGTTACCTTGTTACCCTCTTACCCTGTTATCTTATTAACCTGTTACTCAGTTACCTTGTTACCCTGTTTCTTTGTTAACCTGTTACCCTGTTACCCTTTTACCCTGTGACCCTGTTATCTTGTTAACTTGTTACCCTGTTACCTTGTTACCCTGTTACCCTGTTACCCCGTTACCCAGTTACCTTGTTACCCTGTTACCCTGTTACCTTGTTACCCTGTTACCCTGTTACCTTGTTACCCCGTTACCCTGTTAAAATGTTACCCTGTTACCCTGTTAAATTGTTACCTTGTTACCCGGTTACACTGTTTCCCTGTTACCCTGTTACCTTGTTACCCTGTTACCCTGTTACCCTGTTACCCAGTTACCTTGTTACCCTGTTACCCTGTTACCTTGTTACCCCGTTACCCTGTTAAAATGTTACCCTGTTACCTTGTTACCCTGTTACCTTGTCACCTTGTTACCCTGTTGACCTGTTACCCTGTTATCTTGTTACTCTGTTACCTTGTTACTCTGTTACCTTGTTACCTTGTTACCCTGTTAACCTGTTACCCTGCTACCTTGTTACCCTGTTACTCTGTTACCCTGTTACCTTGTTACACTGTTACACTGTTACCCTGTTAACCTGTTACCTTGTTACGCCGTTACCTTGTTACCCGGTTACCTTGTTATCCTTTTACCCTATTACCCTGTTACTATGTTACCCGGTTACCCTGTTACCTTGTTACCCTCTTACCCTGTTCCTTTGTTAACCTGTTACCCTGTTACCCTTTTACCCTGTTATCCTGTTACCTTGTTACCTTGTTACCCTGTTACCCTTTTACCCTGTGACCCTGTTACCTTGTTAACTTGTTATTTACCCTGTTACCCTTTTGCCCTGATACCTTGATAAATTGTTGCCCGGTTACCTTGTTACCCTGTTAGCCTGTTACCTTGTTACCCTGGTATCCTGTTACCCTGTTACCTAGTTACCTTGTTACCCTGTTACCCGGTTACCCTGTTAGCTTGTTACCCTGTTACCCTATTACCTTGTTACCCTGTTACCTTGTTAACTTGTTACCCTGGTCTCCTGTTACCCTGTTACCTTGTTACCTTGTTACCCTGTTACCCGGTTACCCTGTTACCTTGTTACACTGTTACCCTGTTACCCTGTTACCCTGTTACCCTGTTACCCTGTTAGCTTGTTACCCTGTTACTTTGTTACCCTGTTACCCTATTATCTTGTTACCCTGTTACCCTGTTAGCTTGTTGCGCTATTACCCTGTTACCTTGTTAATTTGTTACTCTCTTACCCTGTTACCCTGTTACCTTGTTACCTTGTTACCCTCTTACCCTGTTACCTTGTTACCCTATTACCCTGTTACCTTGTTACCCTGTTACTTTGTTACCCTGTTACCCTGTTACTCTTGTTACCCTGTTACCCTGTTACCCTGTTAGCTTGTTACCCTATAACCCTGTTACCTTGTTACCCTGTTACCTTGTTACAGAGTAACAAGGTAACATAGTAACAAGGTTAGAAGGTAACAGGGTAACAGAGTAACAAGGTAACAAGGTAACAAGATAACAGAGTACCAAGGTAACAAGGTAACAGGATAACAGAGCAACAAGGTACCAAGCAAAAAAGGGAAGGTATAACTTATGCAAGTAAAATCGCTACAAGAGTAACAGAGTGATAGAGTTAACAGAGTAACAAGGTGACATGGTAACAAGGTAACGGAGTAACAAGATTACAGAGTAACAGGGTGACAGAGTAACAAGGTAACAAGATAACAGAGTAACAAGGTAACAGGGTAGCAGAGCAACAAGGTACCAAGCAAAAAAGGGAAGGTATAACTTATGCAAGTAAAGTCGGTACAATATATGTCCCCATGCATCAAGTACCTGCCCAAGTATGTACCGCAGTCGACGAAAGGAAGACCCGACGACACGAAAACATAAGAATGACGCAACGAGGACATAAGCCCATAGCGACGCCACGAAGAAAAGCCAGCGGTGCCCCGAAGAAAACAGTACGATTGTTGCAGCGAAGCGACGGTCATGTTCTTTACTGTCAAATCAAACGTGTCGCTAACTGATCGGGGATATTTAAATACGGAGAACAGGCGATGAAATGATGTGATGTAATCAACTTGATTTTATTTCCCACCAACGGTCAATGATTCTCGTAAACTAAAAAACAAGTACAACTAAATGAACTAACTTATAGGGGAAATCAAAATATAACGAGTAGCGGTCGAAACAAAAGACGATAAAACATAATTGTGTACGAAAGGCTTAATGACAAAGTACAAGCTTGTGCATTTTGGGGGCGGAACCCCGCACATGAAGATTCTTATTGTTGCATGGGAAAACACTTTACAAATACATCTGTTAACCTAAATTTAATGCTTTATATATTGACTTTCGATGAACATCCGTCTCTGCTTTGAACATTGTGAGAATTCTGATGTCTATGGGGCATTGATCATTGAATGTCCTAGATCCTGTTGGCACGATTCATACAAGATTTGTGCTATATATGATCAACAGATCCCCGAGGATAGAAATAACATGAAAAAGGGCTTTCTTCGGTGCCACGATTGTGGAGCAGTAACACACAAAAACGCGAAGACGTTGAAAACCACTTTTTATTTCCCCTCGAAGGAGGAGAACAAAGAAGATGATTAATTTCCATCCCTTTCACATCGCTGTGTATTTGACTCTTTTTGTCGGTGTCTGTTTAAGTAATAAAGTTTTTTAAAACGGTATCTCGTGTCTGTTTTTCTTGGGACGCGTGTTTTAATTGATCCTAGTTAAATTATTAATTGTTTTGTGTTTTTATAATAAAAATTCAAGGCTGTAGAGCCAATTTGTATGCAAATCAAGGTTTGTTAAACGGTCCCAATATTCAGTTGCATCTAAATCAAGATTTAGAAAATGTTCACAATTGGCTGAGAGCAAACAAACTTACTCTAAATATGACTAAAACCGAATTTATGCTTATCGGATCTAGGCAGAGGCTAAGTGCTCTCACAGAGTCCCCGACATTTGCAATTAATAATTTTGAAGTTAGCCAGGTCACTACTGCAAAATCACTAGGAGTGACCATCGATGACAGACTTGATTGGAGTGGCCATATCGAGAAAGTAACAAAGAAAGTCGCTTCTGGTATTGGGGCCATAAAACGAATAAGGCACCTTGTCCCTCAGGCGACCTTACAACTAATATATCAAGCTTTAATACAGCCACACTTTGATTATTGCAACATTGTTTGGGGAAACTGTGGGATAACCTTACGGAATAAGGTTCAAAAGCTACAAAACAGAGCAGCCCGTGTTTTGACCTACTCAAGCTATGACGTAGATGCTGGTCACCTTTTCAAACTTCTAGGGTGGAAAAACCTAGCTTGCCAGCAACAATTTCAAAGAGCTACGATGGTTTACAGGTCTCTGCACGGGTTGGCTCCAAACTATCTTAGTTCTAAATTTGAAAGGCGAGAAGTCGCATATAACCTAAGGGACTCTGAAAATAAACTCAATGTTCCATTACCGTGCACAAACTATTACAAAAACAGCTTCAGCTATAGTGGTGCCATTCTCTGGAACAGTCTTCCTTGTAACTTAAGGGAAGCAGAGTCCCTTGGGCAATTTAAACGATTACTCAAAGGTACTGTAAGGCACGGCATTCGTGGAAAGCAGCTTTTTTATTTAAATATTTTTATTATATTAGTTTTAGGCATTTTTTTCAAGCTGACGAATTTTGTACCGTGGATAAATAAAGATTATCTATCTATCTATCCATCTATCTATCTATCTATCTATCTATCTATCTATCTATCTATCTATCTATGTTCACTGGCATAATTAACTGACTGACGGCGCTCCGCTTTAATATCGGAATTGTTGATGAAAGCCATCGTAACAAAAAAATATACAACCTCTATTAAATCTTTTAGTTCATTTTTTTTTCTCCAAAATAAAGCTACGAAAAGGTTCGACGATGTGGTGGGCTTTTATGTTCAAAGAACAACGGGCTTGCTAAATGAAGGACCTTATGGCGTTGTGGCGTCATTTCTAGTACTTGCCTGCACATGGTTAACATAAATTAAACAAGTTTCCCTCTCATTTTATTCATGAGCTATTTATTAAATTTTACTCCCCACTTTTGCTCCTCCAAAAAAGGGTATAATTCTGCTGGGACGTGACACCACTACTTATCTGGTTTCGTCCATGAGTAAAAAGATTTCTACAAGGAAAAATCTGGTCAGAGAAGCTGCCGACGAGAAAACGGTCCTGGCTTCCTCAAAAAATTAATTAGGTAGGACCCAGAGGCGCCATAAGCGATTAAACCCCAAACGGTACCTTTTTTGTTGTCACGCAAACCCAATGTACATAATTATATGACAGGTGGTCTAGTTACAAAACGCAATGTTAGTCTGAGACAGAAAGGAAGATATAATGGCTTCGCCTCATGTTTCCTACCTGGTCTCTCTGAGTACTTTGTCAGTACTTTTAGTGGTATTCAACGTTTTTGTTTGCTGTATGGTTTGCATGAACAAAGCCCTAAGGACATACACAAATGGGTTTGTAGTGTCACTAGCTCTGTCAGACATTTTAACAGGAGGAGTCGTTATTCCGATGGTACTAAGCAAGCCTTCATCTCTGGCAACCGCTTTTCTATCGAGCATTATTGTCTTCTCTTCTAGTTGTAACTTATCCTCGGTAACGTACGCTCGCTATGATGCCGTCATGAAACCACTGAGAAGCCGATACCTGGTACCAAAGATGTTCAAAAAAGCCGTTGTATTCTCGTGGCTAATGCCAATAATCTTCTCCTCACCTCCGCTGTTTTGGAACACAAATTATGAACTTCAAATACACAAAGTGTACATCATATGCGCTCAGATATTCGGCTTTGTCGTCCCATTTGTCTTTATTGCTTTTGCCTACGTTCAAATATTCAAAGAAGTTCGACGCAGTTTGGCATTGCAAAAAAAATTTCAGGTACAATCTCCGCAAGAGAGGACGAACGAAAGAAGACGCTTGTCAAAAGAAATTAAGATAGCGAAAGTATTCTGCATAATCTCAGCAATTTTTCTTTTCTGTTGGCTGCCTGTTATTTACATGACAACTGCCCAAATAGTGTTCAGCCGTTCTGATATAATTCCCGATTTTATGCCAACTGTTTCTTTGTTCACCATGGCGATTAATTCCCTTGTGAATCCTGTTATTTACGCTTTTCTCAAAGCTGATTTTATAATTCCCATTCGCATTTTCTTGCGAAGTCTTTTTCGGGGACAAGGTTGCCGGAAGCAGAAGTTGGTAGGGATCGAAATGAACACCTTGAATCCTATAAAATAAACTTTTAGAATCAATTTAAAAACTCCCCCATCATCCTATCCTTCTATTTCAAACAATTGTGTCATCCCACATTTCGCAGTTGTCATGAGAAAGTAGTAATTGCATAATAATAAAAAAAAGAACAATAAGGAAGACTTTCAACGTCGGCTTCACCTCAACAAATTGCCCGATGAAGAGCACCAGCAGCGAGCCGCTGGTCGAGACTAGGGAGCATGTTCTCTTCACAATTATTCTTTATTTGAGACTATTTTCTTGATAAATAGATAACCTGGTTACGCTAGAAATGTACCATCACAATATTTGATAACTAGCTAAACGACTGTTTCAGTTGGCCGATTTTTAGTTATACCATACCATTCCGATGTAAATGTTATGGTATTGGTTAAAACAGTTAAACTAAAGGTGGTTCGACCCAGTATTCTGGTAGCGACACCTTCCACCTTTGAGTCTCTTACAGTGAAACAAATTGATCTTTACAACCCATTATTATATGCGTACTGAGATTTACTCACGGAAAAGGCTCTGGTTCAGAAGCGGGTCTAAGAACCTGACAGCCAATCAAATGGCGCGTATCACTTTTTCCACGTGCGAGGAAAACGATACGTCCAATTAGGTGCCGCGTACAAGTGTCGAGACTTGAATACATGAACGAGAAAAGGTTTGTTGATCACGATACTTCGGTCAAGGATTCTTTGGAAAGTCACGAAAACAAGAACACGAAAGAGAAAACGAAACGAGATGTGAAATTGTTGGAAACGTTTTAAGAAAGGAAAAGAACGACGAGTGAGAAGTTCAAAACATAGAGTCTGCAGAATTAAACAAGCACCTTGCGGCGTTTATTCTTTCTGTACATGAGACGTAAAGACGGAGAGGATTATGAGCCTTCAACTTTAAGATGCTTTGTTTCAAGTATTGAGAGACATTTGAAGAAAAATAATTACACTAAGATCATTAACGAAAAAGAGTGCGAATTGTTTAGAAAATGTTTACAGGCTAAACAAAAAGAGCTGAAGAAAGCTGGCCGAGGAAACAAGGACAAAGCCGCTGTGGCAATCACTGACGAAGAAGTCGATATACTATACGAAATATGCTTGGAATTTCCTCTGCTGAGTCATTGTTGAATACTGTTTGGCTGAACAACATTTTTTGGAATGCGTGGTTGTCAAGGGCACAGGGATTTGTGCTGGTGGAATGTAAAGCACCATAAGGACCCACAAGGTAACGAATATCTAGTTTACCACGATTTACAGACAAAATAGACACCTCAAACGTTCGAAAGGTTTCCCCGAAAATGTGATGAGCGAGATCGAAGAGAGAGAGAATGAAGAGTTGTGGATGAGAGGACAACAGACGTGCCCTCTTACAATACGTTTTAACATGTGAACAGTAAGCTCGGACATCAGCATACAAAGGCGCCACTGGCAGCCGCGCTCAGTCCATTTGTGAGCTTACTGTACCTACCCATCCCCCCTGTGGTGGGGTACAAAATTTACCGTGAAAAGCGACCGGAAAACATGATGCCTGACGATGGGCCATTTTACTTGGGAATAAACCACACGAAAACAGACGGCTCCAAGAAACACTGATTCAAGTCGGCACCTATGCACGAGTGTAAATAAATTAAACACTGATGAAAACCAGGCGGTGTGCGCACTGGGATTGCGATGCATTGTGGATGTAGAATTTTCAAGATGGCGGCGAAGGTGGAGAAATTTCCCAGGTTATATGCTTTATATTTCGATAGACATAGTTCTTTTCTGAGAACGTTATCCACAATTACATAAACTTATACTTATTTAGGCTTTTTCTGTGAAGAAAAAAAATCAACATTCCTCATTACAGTCTAAACCACGGAGTACGAAGATTCATCCCCTACGAGCATGAAATTTGAACCCGTTGTTTGGAGAGCTATAATTTCTATCATAGTGCTCACTGACGACAGAAACTAGTCTTAGGTGTTTTTACAAAGATTGTTAATGAATAGTTTATTAAAAGTCTCTTGCAGTAAAAATAACTGAATTATCGAGTACATTTTACAATCTTAAGGCAACTATTATGTAGAGTATAGTTATAACAATGAAAATAACAATTGAATCACTTAAAAAATGTAAATGTAAAGAAGTCTTCCATTCTCTTTGTCCTACAGACCTGCATATTCAGGAAAAGATAATACTTTTGTGTTTTCTGCCTAAAGGTGTAGTTAGGCGCGTCCAGAAGTGGACTGGGAAGTAGGTGGTGCAGAGGGTGGCTGGGGGACTTCATTTTCGCCATATATTTGTGGCACAAGAGTACTCGTCTATCATCTAACCTATCTAGTTTACCTAACTGTAAGGCATGAGCATATGACTCTGCCTCGGGGTAGATTATGTTAAGCGCCCTTTTTTGCACTCGCTCTATGGCTTCGGACAGGTAAGCAGGGTTGTTCTGCCAGACTGGTACAGCATACTCTAAAACTGGCCGGACTGTGTTAAGGTATATCCCCAAGATGTTGAGTTGGCTCACCCTGGCTCTGCGGTGAACTCTAAGGGAGTATAACTTCTTAGAAGCTTTCTTAATAATGTCATCAACATGGCAGTTCCACTTCAGGTCATTGTCCATAATAACTCCTAGGATCTTATAGATATTGACACGTTTGATGTCATTGCCGCCAATTATTATCGGGTTAATGAGACAATTAGAGTTGCGTAGGAAATTAATATGCATTTCTTTACACTTGGTTGGATTAAGTCTCATATTATAAGCAATGCCAAAATTGTGAATGTCTGAGGGCACTACATTAAGTAAGCTAGGGGAGTTCCTTGGAATTATTTCGAGAGCACTGGTATCATCGACGTATTTGATGAGCAGCCGCCAGTCAGACAGCAGTTTGTTTGTCATCACCGTAAAGAGGATCACACCCAGTTTAGTTCCTTGGGGCACTCCTCCTTTTAGTGTTAACCAATCTGACAGAGTTTTTCCGATTCTAACTGCTTGCTTCCGGGATGTCAAGGATGCCGCAATCGAAGATAAAAGGACTGGATGAACTTCAAGATCTGCCAGTTCTTGCATCAATATTGAATGATCAATTAAATCAAACCCCTTAGAAAAATCTGCGAAGAAAATCTGACGACGCCTCACCACTATCAACTCCCTCGTAGATCGCTTCAAGCATATATATAAGGGCATCTGTCGTAGAATGCCCCTTGCGGGAGAACTGACAAGGGTCGATCTTACCTTCCAACTGGGGCAGGAGTCTCGAACAGGTAAAGCCCTCCATAACTTTTGCCAAAGTACAGGTAAAAGATATAGGCCTTAGATCTTGCTCAATAAGAGCGGGTGGAGACACCTTAGGGATAGGTGTAACAATAGACGATTTCAGAAGAGCTGGTATGTACCCTCCCTTAGAGACTGGTTGTAAATGTCACAAACGAGGGGGGGGGGGTGGTTAACTCCAAGGCAAAATCTTTCAGAATCCGGGGTTAGGTATGTTGTCAGGGCCGACTGCTTTCGATGTCTGAAGCGAGGACAACGACTTGTATGCCTCATACTCTGAAATTCATAATTCATCAGGAACAGATAGCGGGGCACTCCCTGGCACAGGGGTGGGAAATGGTCAGTCAGCCCAACAAAATAGCTATTGATCTTATTTGCTAAACGCTTGATATCTGTATCCTTATCAAGGAACTGATGGTACCACTCCTGCTTAGCAACCTGGCCAGCTAACTATTTTTTTCGTTCTACGCCAAGGTATAAACACTCCCCACTTTTTGAAATAGTTTTTAAAATTTAAACCGACATGTTTTCATAACAAAATGTGGTCTCGCACAGACGTGACATGTCACTGGAAGTGACACTCTTGTAATCACAAGTTAATTACAAAATAGTTCATTGGTTATATAGAGGAGCATGAAGCCTGTGGACGATTGCACATAACAAATGTCAGATTTATGAAAAAATATATGACTGAAAAATGGCCTACTGAAGTCTGATTAGTAACAAACAAATTACACCAAGTAAAATGATAATGCGATGCATGTGAAGCCTCTGAGAGTATAATGAAAGCACGTGAATATTTTTTTCTCAAAGATAAGAAATTAACTTTAAATAAAGATAAACCCTGTACATTTTGAAAACAGCTAGCCTTTATGAAAAAACCTGGTGAGAAAAATGCGTGAGAAGTGTCATCTAGAAGCCACCAAGCTGGCACTTGTTCTTATTACACTTGAGTGTCAAATTAATAAATATCTCTGTTTAAGACTAGTGTGTGTGTGTCTGTGTGGGTGGATGTTAGGGTATTGTAGTTTAGAGGAATTTTGAACAGCTAGGCAACAAACTGCTTATACACTGAGGTCAGTCAACCTATTTACCCCAAGAACATAGCTATATGAAGAAATTTGCATATTTTGGTGACTCGAGTTAAATAACAATTATTCACCGAAGTGGAGGTGGCTAGTATTGGTTATTTACCGAGGCCGCGAAGCGGCGAGGTAAATATCCAATACTAGCCACCGACACTGAGGTGAATAATTGTTTTAGTATATACTAAAACAGTGAGATAATTGAGCACAAAATGATGATTTTTAACTCATTTACTTTTGCCAACGATTACAATTTTGGCGCGCGATGACCGAACGGCCGCGGTCGTCGCTTTTTCTTAGCGACAAATAAAACTTTTGAAGGCGTTTGCTTAGCTCTTGAGGGGAAGTTTCTTCAAAATTAAAGGAGTTGTGAATTCTGTTTGTATTTAAAATAATTCTGTAAAAAAGATTATTAAATTTAGTGTTAAGCTTATTTACGAACAAGTCAACTAAATAAAGTAACGCAAGACTTAAGCTTAATTTGCACTTGTAAACAAAAAACTTTTTCACCGGTTTTATCGATAACTATTCAAGTCAAAAAGGCAAAGCTTTACCTGTTAAAACTTCCAAACCGAACTTCGTCAGCTTCTTCATGTATTTCGGAAATAGCTCTTGCTTGATTACTTGTGAAATTTCTTAGTTTGTTACGGCAGCAAACCTGGA